TTCACAGTCCGCCGAGCGGAAGAAGAAACCGCTGAACAACACCAACGAAGAAGCGTCTACCGGAAGTGTTGGCATAACAAAGTGTGGCTTCACTTTTCTAAAAATAACGAAATCTCAGCAAAATGCAAAATTTGTGACAAAAGGAGCATTTTTACAGAAGGAGTATTTCCTTCAGAAAGGATTATTTCCTTCAGAAAGGCCGTTGGTTAGCAAGGTTAGCTAAACTTTTTTGACCCTGCCTCTTAAAAGAATCGGAATCGAGAATCGTTAGGAACCGGAATCGAAACAAGGAATCGGAATCGGAATCAGAATTGTTCAAATTCAAACGATACCCAACCCTAGTTATAGAATGTGCACACCTCTCGGAATCTCGAAAACGCCATGCTGTTATTTATCCTCATTTTATTTCTCTGCTAGCCATGGTTCATAATGTTTGAACGAAACAAGAACAGCGTGAGCGTGCCGCTAGACGTAACGCAGTTGTTCACGTCTGTCGCCATGGTTACTATTGCAGTACAAGCGGAAACGGGGATAAAGCGGATATTACGTCATTGACAGGCGACAAGTGAACATGGACGAGCCATTATTTAAAATTGGAATTTCTCTGAAATTTGAAATCTTTGGGAACTTTTCGGATATTGTAAGTACACAACTGCAGGAAATACAGTATATCTCACTGTGCAAGTGATTTTTGGATATTTTTAGGGGTGCACGATATTGACAAAAAGGGGATATTGCGATATTGATAATGAATATTGTGATATCGATATTAATTTCGATATTTTGAAACGGATGTAAAACTACAAAAGTTATGGGAAAACGCATCAAAACAAGTTTTCTTACAACATAAGGTTTATTTCAACTGACAGTCATATTGGACTGGTACAGCATGAATATATAAATAATAACCATGTCTACAGAACAGGACAGGTTTTACTAGTTGTGTACTAATAAATAAATAGCAAGTCTACAGAACACACCTATAGCCACTTTATGCGTTTTCTTTGACCGGATAGCTATCTGATCGTGAAAGGACCAGGTGTTAATGCCCTCTGAATCGCATTCGTGACGTATTTGAATCTAATCGCTCAAACCACTTCAGGAGGAGGTCTGGGCCGCATTCCAGACGAAACTGGACAAATGTAAATGCATCTCGTTGTTGAAACCACATATGTAAAATGTACTCCTTCCAAAAACGCTAAAAATGAGAACATGTTGTGGTGATATATGACGACGCGCGCGACTGGAACACGCATCACCGATATTGATTCGATATATCGTGCACCCCTAGATATTTTATAACAAAAGTCTTACATGTTGTTGCTTTTAAGACGTTTTGTTTCATATCTCAAATCAATGGACTTTTACACAGTTAGTGCTTTGTCTTTCATCAGCATATTTTAAATTGAAATGCCTGAGAGAAAGCTCCTCACCATGCTCCTCTATCCCTGTACACCTGCCAAGTCACGGTTAGTTTTACCTGACGTCTCAGCATGTGCTGGTAATTCACAATAGGCTCTCTTTTTTTTCAATTGTAGTTCTCTTGCCCGTGAAACACAGAATAATGTAATTCAAACAGTTGGGCATAGGGCGGCCCCCTCGCTGGGCCAGCCCGGACCCAAGCAGCGCCTGCAGGATGATCGTGCACCGCTGTCAGCCGCAATAAAAACCACAGCTTTACTTATTGAGTAGGGAACTGTGCGCTGCATGGGGATCTGGAGATCAAGGATGAGAAGAGATATACACACTCATGTTTCAGCTGAGGATGGAAATCAAAAGGAATTTTTACGATTCTGGATCCGATTCCTCTTAGCGATTCCGGATTCTTAACAGTTTCATTAATGATTTTTGGAGAAGAAATATTTGGAAATAGCCGTGCATTTCTTATTGTATTGATTGCACTCAGCAGTCTGTTGCCAAGTTATTTCAGACTTCGATGGACCAGATATGTAACAGAACTTGATTAACTAAAAAGAACCGGCTAAGAGCCTTTCATTCGGGAAACAGCAGGGACTAGCTATAGGTAATTCACTACCATGACCATCTCATGAGAGACATCTGTTTGGGAATCAGACTACTTTGACTTTCAATGAACAGTAGTGCGGTTTTAGTTATTTTTGTTATTAACTGTGGACCGTTTAGCACACATTTTCTTGCTCACATTCCTCACAAACGCACGCAGAGTGTTTCAAACAGGAGTGCATGGGTGGATGCTGCTGGGGGTCTTGTGATTAAACCCAAAAACACCAACAGAGACAGACTCACACCTACGTACACGTAAATGCAAACACAGAGTCACACGTTCACAAACACCTTCTTGTTTACGCAGGGGGCCAATAGCTCACGCAGCGTCGCCAACAGCCTGAAGATCGAGGGAAATCGATGGTATCATTCGATTGCATCAGCAATGTTTTGTCGCATTCATGACCTACGGCTTTGAATTCTCCTGGAAGTTTATTTCGAAAGGGGCTGTCCCTCATTTTGTCTCTACTGTTCATTTACACCGCCCGCTCTGGGGGAAAGAACCTAATTATTTCCTTATAAACAGGGAGGGGGATGAACTCTGTCATTTCCTTGTGCCAAATGCAGATAAGTATTTATGTTTGAGTGTAGGATTTCAGCTCTCCAAATGCGTGAAAGACGCTTTAGTTAGTCTGCAGCGAGCGAGTCTGGAGAAGGAAACGCAGTTGTGCGTAGGAGTGATGAGACAGTGGAAGCCCTGGCACACAGACCCTGTCTTATACGCTCTTCTTCCTTTATTTCCTCCTTCTCTTCCTCTGTGAGTGGGCTCACAGGGAGTCGGGCTCAATGTTATGGATTTGAGCTGTCTTCTTTGTGCCTGCCCCCTCTTTCTCTCTATCTTTCAACGGGTTTCTCTCTCTGGGCTGGACGGTGTCCTGAAGGAATTTGGCTACACAGATGTGGAGTGTCTGTTAAGGAGGAGGGTTGCGCTCGTTTCAAACCCCTCTGCGAAAACGCATCATTTCCCTATACATGGCAATTAGACACGTTACACATTACAGACCTTCTATCAGACACTGAATATGTGACATTATGTTGTGTGCTTTAGATTTGTTGCCACGTTGTCTTTTGCCAGAATTAGGGCTGGAACTAATGAGTAATTTGCTAACTGATAATCCAGTGATTACCCAGTAATTTTATTTAAATATATACACATGCATAAAACATCTAGGTATGTGTATATTCAACCCGGTCTCACCCCAAGACGTCATATAACTGACGTTTTGGGACGTCTTTTGACCATACGTCAATATTCGCCTTTTTAGGGCCCCCTTAAATGTCGGTAGATGAGGTTATGGGATCCTAACTCTACCCCATACCTAAACCTAACCCTAAACCTAGCCCGTCACCTAACTGACGTTAAAGGTAAAGCGTCAGTTGTATGACGGCCCGGGATCGCCATCTACCGACGTTTAAGGGGGCCCTAAAAAGGCTGATATTGACGAATGGTCAAAAAACGTCCCAAAACGTCAGTTATATGACTTTTTGGGATGAGACTGTGTTAGTATATTTTATATTCAATATTACTGTAGTCATATACTGTATTTAAAAAGTTCGGGGTCAGTAAAATTTACTTTTTATTTTATTTTACTTATATTCAGGATGCGTTAGGTTGATCTAAAGTGACCTTTTACTGTACATTGTTACAAAAAAAAATATTTCAGATGAATGCTCTTTTTTAATTATTACAGTGAAAATACAGTTTGGAGGTCATTCCACAAAAATATAAGACTGCAAAATGCTGCAATTGACCAACCAGAGTCAAATATTCCAAAGTCAAGTGTTTCCAATCTTTATGCTACGTTAAAACCGGACGCGAATCGCGCTTCAAATTCGCGCCTGATGCGTCTAGTTTGACGCTTGACCACTTTGTGTTAATTCGCGTGTCAAGAGCGAAACTGGCGCGCGTAAAAACAAAAGTTTGAAGCGAAATTTACGTGCGTCAGAATCGAAATCCGTTGGCGGCCATTGTTTTTATGTCGACCGAGCATTCAGCAAAAGTAAAGTATATATATATAAAAGTATATATATAAATAAAAGTATATGAAAATATTTGTTTGCACCGGACCCTTTGGAGCCGAACCGTTTGGCGAGTTTCACCATTTGCTCGCTCCAGGAGCTGCGCTGGATGACGGCCGCTGTCAGCGGTACTTCTGCCTGTCACGCGCCCAGTTTGATGACATGTTGTCCCGCATCGGAGCGAGGATCACCCTCGCCCTCATCCATCTAATCTAGCTTTCATTTATTTTTGTTTTGATGATAAATAGAGCCAGCCTTCAAAAGTTATTAACCTGTCCTGTGATTTTTTTTTCTTTCTCTCTCTCACGTCCAGACACGAATTTATGCACATGTTGATTGTCTTAACAACATAATACTATTTCATATAATCTAGATATGGAATGAATAACATTCGATACAAAATGAACATGTCTCGTATATAGAAATAGGCCTAATGTTTTAAGTGATGAAACATTTGCTTTGTTGTGCATAATCCCACCATGCATTTAGTCATATTAACAAAATAATTTATTGAAGCATTCAGACACTTCACCACGTGAGCAAGCAGCTAGGCTCCTGATTGGTTAACGTGGCGCGAATTCACGGCAAAGTTCAGATTTTTCAACTCGGGCGACAGACGCAAATTCGCGTCAAACGCGTGAATGCACAAATGGCACTAACTGAATCATTCGTGCGTAACGCGCCAGACGCTCAATTCGCGCGAACGAGGTGTATTCGCGTCTTCTGCGCCGCACTCCACGTCTCATTCGCGCAGCAGGAATTTTTCACGCGCGTAAAGCGTCTTTGCATTGACTTAACATTGAAATCAATCGCGCCTGACGCCCTATTCGCATCCGGTGTGAACGTAGCATTACAGTCTAGCTGTTGGCATTTATTGTTAAGGTTTTTTGCAGTGGAGCAATTTAATTTAGCATGTTTATAATGTCTGTTCCTAATGTTCTGCTTTCTTTTTCTTTCAGGATGCCTTTGTGGAGTTGTACGGTCAGCAGAGAGGCTCCGTGTTCCATCCATTGTCGTACCTAACGAAAGTGCTTGGAATAGCGGCATTGGGCTTGGCAGGAGCGGCGCTGGGCTTTTTCATTCAGAAGTGACGGCCCTGCAGGTCTCTCAGCTAATTCATCTCACTTTCTCTGCCTGTCTCTCCTCTTCAGCTTATCAAAGCATCTCTCAGCGCCACACTGCCCCGCTAAGCCCGGCACCAGTGCCCTTCAAAGGCCGCCACTGATCCGATGCCCCTCCAGCCACGGGCGCTACGGCGCTCACGCTGTTTCAGCCTCTCGGGAGTGAAGAGAACACAAAGAAAAAGAATACAGAATGAGGACTCGCAGGAACGCTCCCACACTTTAACTATGATGCTCGTCACTGCCATGTACAGTCGCGCTCACGCAGAGATCGACACACAAAACACGTGCACACACAAACACATGCTCACATACTTCATATGGACGTTTTATCTCTAAAGTTTGTTTCTTATGTATGAAACAAGTACAAAGAGTTTTTTAAACTTAAGATTTTTGACATTTTGATATCAGGTTTTTTGGCATTTTGTAGCATGAATCAAAAAAAAAGAGAGAGGAAAATAAAGTTTGCCGGCGTGAATGTAAATAACTTCTCCACTTTTTTGCATGTGTGGAGAAAGAGACTCTTTAAGCTACTTTACTGCATGATGGCATTTTGAACTCGGCCACCCACCTCTACTTTGTCGATTCGGGGTGGGTTTTTTTTCATGTTTTTGTTTATTTCTGTCTCTCACTCCATTGGATGGACCTCTTGAGATCTCCCGTCAAACCAACAGATGTTGAGTATTCCTCATTAAAAAGTTCCTCTTTGATTTTGCTCCGTGTCTTACTGTTTGGTGAGCACAAAGAACGTGCCAACAACCAAACCGAAGCGGATATCATGATGAAATCTCACCGGAGTTGTCTGACCCAAATCGCCCTTTTTTGAATGTAAAGACTGGAAGTTTTACTTCTGTTGTTTTTTTTTGTGTTGGTTTGATTGGTGCAAAATGCCTCGAAAGAGCAATTCTGATGGTAAATTCCATTTTCGAGGGTATTGTGTATGTAAAGTCTGTGTACATGTAGTGTAAGTGTGTGTATACGTCTGTAAATAGATTGAGAGCTGGACTTGGCTGTGTTCTGGTGGAGAACGCGGGCGACCCGCCAGTTGTGTCCAAGCCAGGCGTGTATGTGCGTCTGCAGATGAAACGGACAGGTGGCAGCTGGGAACAGAAGTTCATTCAGGCTGGCATGATAGGCACGCAGGCCAAGACTCTGAACACAACGGACCAGGTGTATCACTTTCCCCTCCTCATCGCCCCTGCAATGTTATCTTTCTTGCATGGTAGATTACAGGCACCTTGTGAGCTGTAGATCTTTGGATGCCCCAACAACCAATGAAATCGGATCCGTCTTCTGTAACTTCCGCCCCAGAGAGAATCTCATCTAGTGATATACCACAAGTCCCCAGTGTGTTCCACTGGGAGGGTTGATTTCTCATTCACAGGAAGATACTGAGACACCAGCTTTTCCTAATGTCTTTTCCCCATCAGATGTCCATTAAAGTCACTGGTGTAGATTTAGCGCTCTCTGTGTCAGGGATAGAATCATGTATAAAACACAAGGTTGAGCAAAAATTCAGGATGGGCATCCTTTCAATTCATAAGTTTGAATTTTACTTAGAATAACAGGAAGATGAATTTACTAAATTGCAATTCAAAGAAATTCACAAATTACTTTCAAACAATGCTGTCAAGCCGACGTTCAAAAGTTCTTCATTATTAAACTTACGAATTTTTATTTAATTCTTACTTTATTCTATTAAAATTCAGAAAGCTTTCTCAATTCAATTCCAAATTGAGCACAAGTCTGATACTGTGTCTACAGACTTCATTCAGAGTGAACAGTTAATGTGGCGTGAACGAAAAAGAGGCTGTGAAGGATGCGCGTAAAGGGTTATTTTTTATTTTTTTTATTTTAAAGGGTGCAATTTTTCTTTTTTCAGAAAGACATTTCAGTATTTTGTTGGCTAAACAGCCCTTAGTATGCAAAAGTATAACATGAACTGTACGTTTTTCCCCTCACAGTCTCATTTTCATTCTAGTCAACACTCTAACCAAGGATCCATGTCAGGATCGACTTTATCTAGTCTATCAACACGGCTCTCTTGAGTGTGTAAATGGTACAGATTAAACATTCGCTATCTAATAGTGTACTATATTGATGCACCCTTTATCGGGTGGTGCAGGACTGTGTCAGAATATGTTAAAGCGAGTTTTTAGGACTCACAAAGATGTAAGATCATTTTACTTTAGCTGCTAAAGATCTAGCGATGTAAGACAACAGGGTGTGAGTTGAGCTTCTCCCTGTTGCTGCACCATATGAAGCTGCTCGTGGACGAACCAGCGTATAACTGCCACTGCTGGAGCGGAACTAGTCCATCCACTCCTGAAGTCTCACTTACCCTCTGGTTAGGAGAAGCTGAGAAGTCCATTACAATCAGACTCTGTGGACCTATTCGAGTTTAAGAAGAGGCCTTGAGTTTTTAATTAAATAGCATTTCTATTCACAAGCTATTTTCAAATACAGTTTGTGTCAAATTCCTCTGCACCTCAAGAGTAATCAAGCAGTGATTGTCAAGGAAATTTGACTTTGACAAAAGAAAGCTGAAGGATGCAGGAGATGTATTTCACCAATGTATCTAGTTGGTAAAGGTGTGTAAATGTATAAATCATAAGGTTCTTGTGTAGCATGTGTGTATACATTAAAATCATTTGCATTGTAAGGGGCTATACACACAGAATGCATTTTTTGCCTTTAAAAGCGTCAAAATGGAACGGGCAAAAAAACACGGGCTCTAAAATTTTACCTTGAGTGCTGTTTTTATAACACCGTATCATGTGTGAGACACTGCAAAAGGTGTTAGACGCAACCGCTACCATATAGTGCATGATGGAAAAGCAAAAGCGTGTTTTATGTGAACAGCCCGTAAAACTGTGTCCTAACCATGGTGAAGCAAAACTCCATATAGCTGCATATTATTTTATTTATTTGTTCTGCACGGAAATCACAAGGATACAGTACCAGAAGGGGAACGAAACCCATTTGGGTTTATACAGAGCTGCACTCCACTTACATGAATGAACAAACAAACAAAAAAAAGAAGAAAAAGACAAAATAAAGGCGCGCAAACAGATAAGTTATTAAATATTAAGATATTTAAAGCTGAAGTGTGTAATTTCTGCGTCACTGGACTGAATTTGACTGTTTTTAAACAGGTTTCCGAAACACTGTCGAAAGCCCCGCCCCAAAACAAACCCCATTGGCTGAACCAGTGTTGCTGTTGCCGGGCAGGTTGGGATGTTCAAACAAACAGATCAATATTTTGAAAACACCTCAGAGCTGCTGTGTTTAATTTTTTAGGGCACTCAACATGTAACCGTCGTAGTAACAAGTTTTAACATAAAAATGACATATCAGGTTTAAACATGAAATATGTTCTCATTGGCTGTTGTCTCATTACACAAAATGTTCCCTTTCTCTGCTAAGAGAATGCTCGGAGACTTCATTTGGTTGGGACACAGTGTGAAAGTGGGCATTGAAAGAAGGTGTAACTTGGTTAATCTCCAGGGTGAATATTATATTTTATTTAAAATATTCTGTATCTCTTTGTTTAATGTAAATTATCTTTGTAGCTTATACTTCTGCAAAAAAATCTCCATCTGTCAGTTCATTCCTCATTCTTTCATACATTCTTTCATTCTTGTCATACAGACGGAAAGAGGATGGGCTTTTGTTTTAGCTCACGTCCTGTCTGATAAATATGGAAGTGAGATTTAAACTGCAGCGAAAGGGGTTTTCCCTCCTTCCATCTGGATAGTGCAGTTCCGGTGATCTGTTAAGAGTAAAAATTCAATTACAGTCTCCATGATTTTTACATTTTGCATGAGTGCATTCTTTCATCTCCAGCCATACGGCTACATTTTACATACGTGATTTTCACATTGTTTTCAATATAAATGACTCAGTTTGTGTGACTGTTCTGAAATAAACCCCCACGCCCTATCAGATCAAATGGAAAAGATGATAAAAATGTTTTTTTTTTTTTCTTCGGCAGCTATAATGCATTCATTTTACAATACCACTTTCCTTTGAGGAAAAAAAGAAATTGATTTTCTACTTTGATTTCTTTGCTTTCTTTCTTTTTTAATGACTTTGCTGCCATACCTTCCCTCATATATCACATATCCATTAAAATGTAGCAAAATATCTGGAGGATTTTAATATAGAGACAGGAGTTTATATTTGATTTCCATTTTCTCATTTTTCCACCATTATCCTGTTTGTCTTCTTGTCTTGTATGCCCTCAGCATGTAGCATTCAAAAGCAATTGTTCACGTTTTTTCTTTCTATTTTTTGTTTGTTTAATTTATCCTCTTAGCACTTGTGAGTTTTAAATATGTCAATATCATTTTGTGTACGTATCCATGTCATAAGCTAACAGTTATGTGTCCTAATTAAATAAACCTTGCCTTATCATCTGAGAAGAGCTGTCACGGTTTGCATCACTGAGTCAGAAACTCGAATATGCCGCTTTGGATTCTGTCATGTTTTGCTGTTCTCTAAATTGAATGCAGCTAGGGAATCGTTTTAACAGGCCAGCTGTATATCAGGAGTGTTTAAAGCAAGAACAGGAGAAGGTTGGCAACGGTGTCTCACGGGAGATGAGGATTTAACCAATCAAAATGGGCCATGTGTACATCCTTCTGTTTAACCTGGGGGTCTTCCTTGAGACAATGTAGACGTACATATGCTCAGAATAAAGGAATACGCATGTTTATCGCTTACAGCGGTCATTTGCAAATTGCACCATCTCTCACAAAAACATACCATGATGGTATCGGGTGGTAATTGGACACAAATGGAATTTGGAGAATTGTTTAATTTGTATAAATATATTGTGCATTTTTACATGGTAAAATCTTTTTGATAGCTGAAAAGCATTTAACAAGTAAAAACCACATCCCAAAGTTGCTCTATTGTGTTGAGATCTGGTGACTGTGGGGGCCATTTTACTACAGTGAACTCATTGTCATGTTCAAGAAACCAATTTGAAAGGATTCGAGCTTTGTGACATGGTGCATTATCCTGCTGGAAGTAGCCATCAGAGGATGGGGACATGGTGGCCATAAAGGGATAGACATGGTCAGAAACAATGCTCAGTTAGGCTGTGGCATTTAAACGATGCCCAATTGGCACTAAGGGGCCGAAAGTCTGCCAAGAAAACATCCCCCACACCATTACACCACCACCAGCAGCCTGCACAGTGGTAACAAGGCATGATGGATCCATGTTCTCATTGGGTTTACGGAAAATCCCAGTAATTAAGCAGATTATGAAATACTCGGACTGGCACCAACAAACATGCCATGCTCAAAATTGCTTAAATCACCATTCAGTTTGGAGTTCAGGAGATTGTCTTGACCAGGACCACACCCCTAAATGCAGCAACTGTCATGTGATTGGTTGAGATAATTGCATTAATGAGAAATCCTAATAATCCTTTAGGTAAGTTTATTGTAGTGCTAATGGTTTAGTGACTTGATTGCATGTATCGTTGCAAAATCTAAACTGCATTACAACGATGTAACTCAATCTGCTTGAAATCATGACATTTTCTATGGGACACAGCTGATTGGTTCCTGATGGATCAGTTGCTCAACCTTCAAATACTTGGTTCAGCGTTTGCTGTAGCAGATTCAGCGCGCTTTCAGAAACCCTCCACCTTCCCCAGCTCCACCTGTATAGATCTTCTACTGGTAATTATTGTATGCTATATGCCTATTGTAACAACAGCAGCAGCATAGCAGATCAATTCCACCAAGACCAAACATGCATTCATTTTAATATCTATTACCATGTCAAACACTCAGAGTTGTCATGACAAAAATGGGGAGCAAACAGTAAACTTCTGTGTTCTGTAAAACAGATTACAACACTTCCGGTTCAGGAATTTAGTATGTACTTTGTTAAATATAGCAGTTTTACTCAAGATACAAAGAATGAACAAAGAAGATTGACATCTAGAACTTCTACTGTAGCATTTAGCTCTAATTTGCTAAATGCTAGAAGACATGGAGATATTAAGGTAGGCCTATTATAAACATAACATCATGATTTGCTGTAAAGCCGCTTTGAAACAATGTGCATTGTGAAATAAGTTTGACTTGACTTAGGGTACGTTTATAAGACACAGATGTACTTAAAAAAGAAACATTGCCGAAGTTACGACGTCACTCTGTAGGCCAAAACGCGGAAGTGAGTTAGCATTTTAGCACTCCCGGTTCCCTCGCTCTAAAGCCTATGGGATTTTTTAATGGGTTTTTGCTAAATCGCCTGAAATAAGGTCTGTGGTGAACAAAGCCTCTAAATATTTTCACGTTTTGATCTATGACATAGAACACACAGTTATAACCTGCTTGTGGTTTTTTTTAAACTTTATTGTGTCTGATTGTGTTTTTTAAAATCTTTATATAGGCTTCAAAATGTATAAATTTTGGATTAACTTGTAAAGATTATCTTGATAGACAAAACGTGTAAGTGTCACTACTCTTTGTTGAACACAGATCTTCATTTTTGCGATTTTCCAAAAGTCTATGGGGAAAATACATTGCTTTTCGACCGAGGGAACTCATGCGCCGCTAGCTAGCTTCCGTCATCACTTCGGCACTCTATTTGCGCACAGACGACAACTTTATCAAAATGTTCCCCTGTTTGACTTTGAACGGCTCAAAACACTGTATTAATGCTGCCGATGTCACTTTGTAAAGAAACACAACAAGATGTCCATCTCCTTCTACTGAAAGTGTCTTTTGTAACCAAGATGTAGCTGAACCATCTTGTCAGGTCTTGAACCTCAAATGCAAGGGCACACGACGTGCATATACTCTAAATCAGTAGCTCCACCGTATGATTCTCAAGGGTTCATGTTACATTGGAGAAGCTTCCTATGAAAAAGATCACACACCAAGAACGAGAAAGAAAGTAAAGCTGTATGGATCCGTCAGCCACAAGAGGCCGCAATTGATCTGTGGTTCAAACGCTAACCTCTACTGTTGGCCAGGGGGATTTGATAGATGGAGCAACCTTGATGGCAGTGATGCCAATGATGAATGTTACGATTACTCCCACCGACAAAGATGATGAGCACCATGAGCTGTAATATAGTACTTATTTTACGTGAGTTGTGTGCCGCGGGGTGTAAACATAACGCCATTTCCTCTGAGATTTCGCTCATGTGATATTAGATTAACCTCCTACAGCATCTAAAGCCCTACAGTCACATATGCCTCCACCCGCACAAAACTACGAGACGTCGGAGAGAAAGAGAGCCGAGCCTCGGAGGGACGCACCCGGGGGAAGAGGAAGGTTAAATTAACTTGAGCCTAGAGTTCTTTGTGCAAAAACTACTCGCTCAGCGGATGAAATAGTCCACATATGTGGAAGAAGGAGAATTTTAAATGATATCAGTTTTAGTTGGTAGAGATACATGCTCAGAGTTCTCATAATTGCGTGCAATCGAGGGTGTTCTTGTAACTTCTTGGGGATATGAACCTGATGATGATGGCAAAATTTACACCAGCTTCATATTTCTAAATGCAGAACGGCGGAAAGTATGCACGATATGTCCAAGATCAAAGCAAACGCACTGCGTCCAAAGGGATGCATATTAACATCTGAGGCTATAGCAATGGAACTAAATCTTTAATATTGTAAGTGAATAACAATGGTTGCCTATATATTTATCAATTTTTTGTTTTTAATATGAAACAACAACACATTTTTTGTCCTTGCCCACTTTGTGTTAGATAAGGCAGCATAAAAAAATCAAAGGAAAAGCTGCTGGTAATTTTCCGCCAGGACATTATCCGTTTTTATACAAAGTTCTGTCATGAAACTCCAGATTCCTTAACTCAATCGGCTTGAAATCATGACATTCTCTATAGGACACAGCTGATTGGTTCCTGATGTATAAGTTGCTCAACCTTAGGCCTATAGCCGGTCAGCATTTGCTGTAGCAGATTCAGCGCGCTTTCAGAAACCCTCCACCGTCCCCAGCTCCACCTGTATAGATCTTCTACTGGTAATTATTGTATGCTATATTGTAACGGCAGCAGCAGCATAGCAGATCAATTCCACCAATACCAAATATACATTTTCATATTACCATGCCAAACACTCAGAGAGTTATCATGACAAAAATGGGGGATGTGCACATCAAACTTCTGTATTCTGTAAAACAGATTGCATCACTTCCGGTTCAGGAATTTAGTATGCGCTTTGTTAAATATAGCAGGTTTACTCAAGATAAGAATAAACAAAGAAAAGCATAACCAATGTCCATCACATGTGCAGATTGACATTTAAAAGTTTTTTTATTTTTCTTCTTCTCACTAACATTTAGATATTTAAATTGAATAAAACGGCAACAATAAAAAGCTGATTACATTAAAAGTCCATAGATATCGCCATCAGTTTTTAAAACTTTCTCTGTCAAAGCGGATGCAATGAGACCTGTTTTCTTGTTTGTTCATGTGATGTTCGGCATAAAGCCTATTTATGGACATAATGCTAAACAGAATGCATAATTCAAAATGCGCCTGTGAAACTCTATATGGAATATTCCTTCATATGAACTTTTTGTAGGTAAATCAATTAATAACAACAAAAAACATTTAGTCTTTACTAAATTGCAAAATATTTTAATCAAATGGTAATGAATTAATTTATCTACAGTAGTAAGTTAGTTATTCAGTAATGCAGTCAGTAATGCATTTTCATTATATGGAAATTAGCACCAGTGACTTTTTAATTACCCCTGTGTTCCTAATGATAAAGGTTCATGCAAATAATCTGAGAAAGGTGCAACTTTGATTGGACTGACCAAATTTATGTAAATGGATGATTTCTGTCTCTCTATTTTGATTTTCAAAGATATTCTTTATCATGATGTTTTATCAGTATTATACTTCTTTAAGAATTGAATTATACCAAACAGGCTATATATGAAGAGTTCAGATGCAAAAGCCTCTAAATGCCATTTGAAATTTTCTTCTTTAATGATGATTTTTTATCAAACTTGTATATTTAAGTTCAATAATTTCACTTAAATAACAATTAATAGGTAATTATTATTGCCATTTAAGTGAAATTACTGAACTTAAATATACAATAAAAAGATTTTTTGATAAAAAAATCATCATTAAAGAACAAAATTTTAAATGGCATTTAGAGGCTTTTGCATCTGAACTCTTCATATATATATATATATATATATATATATATATATATATATATATATATATATATATATATTTTAGAGAACATATTTAGTGCTTCACTTGGCCAAAAGCAAGATTCCAAATAAATATATTTTTTTAAATAAAATTTGAATTCCATAAAAGCATAAAATAAAATAACTCTAATCCTCTGCCTTGCATTTCTAGGTTGGTCTGGCTTCTCTCCTTTCTCCGATCCCTGACAC